TTTAGCTGCTTTATTTATTTATTTAGCTGTTTTATTTATTTATTTAGCTGTTTTATTTATTTATTTATGTATTTATTTATTTATTTATGTATGTATGTATGTATGTATGTAACCAAGGCACTAAGCCTGTTTTCTTAAGGCAAGTAAGGTGCAAAAAATCTCTGTCAATTCTGTCAATTAAGGAAGACCCCATACCCAACCCACTCCCTCTCCCCCAGGGAATTCAGTGCCCCCGGTTCAATTCTACCTGGAAACCTAGGAGGGGCCTGAAGTGAGATCAAAACCAGAGATGACAATGGGCCTGGCTTTAGAGACAAAAACAAATGTCACATGTCCTTTGGCAGCAAGAGGTAGGCTACCTTTCAAGTAATTTCGTGATGAAGGAACCCTAGTAGACGGTCATACGCACACGTAAGTGATGACCCTTCGCCTTTGGCGACTTTATAGTTTTCAGCGGAGGAGGGCAGGGGAGGAGTAACAGGACCTTTCAGGTGTGTCCTCCAATCGCGATAGCCCGTTCTGCCTGTGAATTGCTCCCCTCCCCCTTCCGTTAATTAAATAAACGCTCAGAGCACTTTACCGCACAGGACTCGGCCCTTGGGAAGCTCTATCTTCGTGGCTTCCATTTTTAAAGTCCTTAACTCGCTGAGGGTTGAAGAGCGGGCGACATGAGTTTCCAGTTTCGAGGGGTGAGAAGACAAGGGGCCCGCAGGGAGGAGAGGCCTGCGCCGGGCCAGGCAGCCCAGAGCGACGCTGGCGGCTGTGTGGGACGGCGCCGGTGGGGCGGGGGTGCAGGGCGGCTGCTGGGCGCTGCACAGCTCTGGCGCGGAAAGCCGAGTCGGCGCCTCCCGGCGTCTGGCCGCAGTGGGCCTCTTCCTCGCCTGGCGGCGACCAGATAAATGCATCCAGGCCGCCGGGCTTAGCTGGCCTGGGGGTGTACGGTGTTCGAGCACAGCGAGCCAAGGCCCTGGGGACACTGAGCTCGGAGCGGTTAGGTTGCACCAGGATGGGCCCGGGGATGTCAGTGTAGAGGTGACAGGTGCTGCAGCTGAGCCAGGCCTCTGGGGGACGGGGGGTCACTGGGGCAGGGGAGGCAAGAGCCAGCCTTGTCTCTAACAGATCCCGAGAGCCACTAGGGAGGTGGCCTTGAATAGCAGGCACGTTTCTGGCTTTGAGGTGGTTGGACAACTGAAAATGCACCTTCGCCTGCTGAGAAATGGGGCGATGGTTGTCAGGTTAGAGACTATACCCACGATCTCTGCGCTCGGCGGGCAAGCACTCTGCCACTGAGTGCACAGACCTGGGACGGAGATGGATCAGGTTCAGGTTCCTCCTCAGAAGGTTGGATCCCATAGGCCTCTCAGCTCCACCCCAGCTTTTGCCATTTGGGAAAAGCAGATGTTTGCGGAAGAGGTAAAGGCTGCAAGGTCCTTCCCGCACACAGTTTGGCAAGCTGCGCTTAGAAGTGAGCAGTAAATGGAATAAGGTTGGACTTGGACAAAGACGAGAAGCATCTACAGGTGTGCAGTTGCGCTTTGCACATTAGAACAGCATACTATTTTTTCTATTGTTGCTGTTATTCTGAAGTGTCTGTGAATTGATGCATATGGCACTGCAGGGGTGCGTCTTAGTGGCTTTAGACAGTTTGAGGGCCCAGTGGGTGCCCTAGAGGGTGAATGGGCGGCCCCTTCCCGGGCTGCTGCGTCCCAGTCCAGGTCACGCTGTTCCGAGGGGCGGGACTGACACTCGTTCCGAGGCCTCCACCTGCCGCGAAGGCTCCCCCTCCCTGGGAAGGAAAGAGGAGTCGCAGGCCAGCCTCAACCCAGCTCCACCCGCCCCACCGCCTGTCTCGGTTTGCGGTGTGTGTTTGAATAGGATCCGGCCTGGGGTCCTGGGCCCTGTTGGGCCTCGTAAGAGGGGTGCGCACAGTAGGGGCGTTGCTGTCCTAGCAGACGCCTCCTGTCTTGGGTTTCCTGGGCCATCCGAGTGGCTGGGAGCCTGGGTCCAGGGCTTCTAGCGTGTGAGTGCTGGCTCTAGGGGGCGACAGAGGGGAGCTGCCGACAACCCACCACGCCGATACCCCTGATTATGCGAGGCGGCCAGCGAGGCTTGCCCCGGAGATCCCCACGTTCTGTGTACAGTTTGGCGGCTGCGAATCCCCGGAGGAACCCTTCCCCGGGCGGTGGCTACCCAAGGGCGCGGCCACACATTCTCGGATCTTCGAGCGGCGAGGGGCCGGGGCCCTGGAGGGAAGTCTGTTTCGGGTGCGGGAGCCCTCCCCTCCGCCCCCGCTCCTTGCTCGCCGCTCAGAGAATAGTTGAGCTCAAGCACGGGCTGAGGCTTCCGGCACCCTGACCAGGGCGCGCGTGCCTGGGTTCCGGCCCAGACGCCGAGTGTGTGCGTGTTTGGGCAGGGTCTCGCTGGCCGGAAGGTTGAGGGTTCTTTGAGCCGCCTTCCACACCCAAGGCGCGGAAGTCCCGATCTCGCTGGAGTGCCTGCCCCTTGGAGACTCGGCAGCTCCGGGGTCTAGAAAGTTGCCTTGGGAATCAATGGCCTTTGCCAAGCGGTTCTGAAACTCTGGGCCCCTAGGGCTTCCCGAACCGAGGCGCTCAGACTCTCGTGGTCTCCCTTTGCCTCTGCCGTAGACGGCCACGGGCTCGGAGGAATCTCCGTTCCTCCGGAAGGCTTTGGCGAGCGCTTCGGCGCGAAGAAAAGACAGTCCGGGTCTGGGGTGGGGGTGGCATTTGTCTGCCCAGCCCCGGCCCCATCCTGCCCGGATATAAAGTTGCCGGCGCAGGCTGACCCCAGCCGGGACTCAGAGTTAAGCCCGGGGCCAGAAGGCCCAGAGTGCAGAGCCTTCGCGCCAATGAGCTGGAAGTCTGAGGGTTCCCTCCCTGTTGGGACTGCCTGGGACCCCAACCTTCCACACCCCGGGGGCCACGGTGCCTGCCGCGCCAGGGTGCGATTCTTGCCCCCACCCTGAATACCCACAGCGCTGCTTCTGCGGCTTTTCCTTTTACCCCCTCCCAGGTCCCGCTGTTTTGGAAGCAAGTGCCAGGGGTCGTCTGTGCACTCTATGTGTACTTAGTGCAAAGCCCCGAAAACATGCCTACTTTTAAGGCGAGGGGGAAGCTTCGCTTGGAGGACGCCTATTTTTATTTTAGTTCTTAATTTCAGGCCCATCTGGGTTTAAATAAATGCTAAAGCTCAAACAAACCCGAAGAGTAGAAAGGCTGCGGATGCAATCCTCTGTGGACAAGGAGTAGCGTCCACTCCAGGCCCGCACGATGGATTGATAGGATTATTGGGAAATCGGATTCGGAATCGAATCCTAATAGTCTTCTCTGATTCCCTCAGAATAGTTAGCTCCCGGACCCAGCGGGGACGTCCTAACCAAGTTCGCCCTTGAGAACTTCCCTCCCGCAGTGGAAAAGGCCAATTATAGTAATTGTGTCAATGGATTTCGTTTCTTTAAAATTTTAAAAACATTGCCGGTTGCTTTCAAGTTTGGGTGGCAAATACATATGGGGGGCGGGGGGGGGGGGAGCCGCGTTGTTGTGGAAGTTTCGTTTTCTGCCCAAATCTGCGGAACTGAGGTGCTCACCTCTCCAGCCCTAGCCTCTCTCCGGCCCCTTCCCGCGCCTCCCCTCCCCCGCCCCGTGGCGCCCGGGTTTGGTTCCGCCCCGCACCTCCGTTCTCCGCTGAGTTGAGGTTTCGGAGTGTCTGGTCCGTGGGAGGCAGCTGCAGAGCCGGTGCAGGGCGGGCAGGGCGGGCAGGGCGAGGCGGGGCGAGGGCCCACCCCCCGCACAGCCGGCCGCAGAGATGCAGCTTTGGGCGATGGGGCGATGGCGGCGACACTGTTGTCCGAGACTTGGGGCGGGTGGATCCCCGAGGCGCTTGGGGCAGCCTCCCCTGAAGGCCTTCCTCCCCTCTGGACGGCGCTGTGCTCTCGGAGCCGGGCGGGGGGGAAACCTCTCAGAGCGGCTGGGGTTCCACTGTACGACCCCAGCCTAAACTTGAACTCTACGTGGAGCGGGTGGGGTGGAACGTTTTTGAGAGATAAGGGGACCCCGGCTGTTGAGACGCCCCGAACGTGGGGTCTTTAACCCAGCGTGACATCTTTTGGACGATTGGGGAAGGTACTCTAGGGCGAAAGAGGGGGTGTTCGGGTTCGGGTCCCCAACTCCGCCAATCTCAGGCGTGTGCACGGTGGGATGGAAGGCGCGACGGGGGACCCAGGCTCCGCAGGTCAGAGACGTCCCGAGAAGCGCCCGCGCTCCTCTTCCAGTTCCCGCACCTGGGTCTTCTCCTGCTCTGGGCTGGGGTTCGGGGCGGAGCTAGGCTGGGACTGGCTGGGGGCCGCCCCGCCCGCAGCCCGGGCCGTGGCGCCGGCCCCCGGGGAGGAGTTATGATAATTTCCTTCTCATTAAGGCGCTCGGGTCCCCCGGCTATAGCCGGGACACAGTGCGGGCGCGGCTTCCCGGGTCCCTGGCAGGCCTGTTCGCCGGCGGCGGCAACGTCTACGCTCGCAGAGCCGCCGATGCGCGTCCAGTGACCCGTTCTGCGAGGCCCGCGCGCGGCGGGGGCGGCGGCAGACGCTTGGCCACCGTGACCCCAATTTTGGATTTACCGCTGGGGGGGTGGGGGGAACCTGGATTTAATTGGCGACTGTTTTGGGGGACGCAAGACGCCATGTTGTGGAAAATAACCGATAATGTCAAGTATGAAGAGGACTGCGAGGTGAGCTGGGCACGGTGCAGCCCGGCCCCGCCCCAGGACAGTCTGGGAGGCGGGGGCCGCTGGACCGAGGTTGGGGGCAAGGGTGCAGAAGCAGCAAGCAGGCACCCGCCGCTGCCCCGCGATGGACGGGGTCCACTTTTCCGGACACCCCCTAGTCGGTTTCTCCGGGGACCCCCTCCTGAATCGGGCCTTTCCCTAAAGATATAGCCTCCGGAGCGGGGCCTGGAGAGAGAATGGCAAATCCCACCCACAAAGCTTACCGGTCGGTTTCAAGCGAAGCAAAACAGCCTTCTTCCCGTTTTCTCGGAAGAGCGCTGGTCCGCAGCCCTGCCTCAGACGCGGCTTTTACGCACGAAATCTCCGTCCAAAGGGGTGTCTGACCTACCCTTTGCGGAGTCTCCTCCAAGGCTGGCTTTCAGCTTCCCCGCTACCTTCCCGGGGAAAGAAGAAAACATAAGTTTGGTGTTCAAGAGAAGTGGGGGCTGGGGAGTGGTGAGGGGGGTGGTGCCGAGGCCAGATGGGGCCGTAAGCGCTCGGAGTGCTCCAGCCTGTCGGACAGGTTGAGCTAGAGTTTCGGAGAGTGGGAGGGAGGGAGGTGGCGAGCGGGAAGAGGAAGACGACGCAGGTGGCGGGAGGCCTGAGCCCGGGCGCTGGAAGAGCGGAGCGGCGCTGGGGGCCCGCGGGAGCCCACTTGCGGCCTCCGCACCTGGAGGGGCTGCCCCTGTCCAGCACCCCCGGACTCTGCCACTAGGGGGCGACAGTGTCATGTTCCTCCTGGTCCCCCACTACCCCGTGACCCCCGTAGCAGTAGGAGACACATCCTTTAGGAATTAAGTCGGACAGCCGTGGGGCAAGGGGACGTGAGCACGCAAAGTTGCCCAATTTCGGGGTTCTTGATTTTCGCTCTGTGCCTTGGTTTGTGGGGACACGGACTGTGGCCGGGCAGGTTTGGCGCCTCACTCCCTCTCCGCACTTGGTCGGGACATGCTAGCAGGGAGGGCTGCTCCGGCTGCGGCGCTTTCCTCCTCGCGTTCCTCCTGGAGTTATTCCGCGGTGCTGGGTGGCAGCCCTGCTAGGGAGTGTCATTCCCCGGAGGGCTTTGTCCTGAGGGCGTGGAAAAGATTATTCCCTGGGGCGGGGAGATGCGCACTTCCCGCGCTGCGCGCTTTATCCGCGCCCGCCGCCTCCCCGCCTTCTTTTGCTCGGCGACGGGAACATGTGCGGGCTGGTGAGCGAGAGCGCCCTGCACCGAGTGCCTTCCTCCCGGGCCTGGAACTCGGACTTGGCGCTTTGGAGAGCCTTGGGCGGCGGAGCGCCCGGGGGTTCGCCGCCGGGCTTCGAGGTCGCGCCTCCCCAGGTCTTTTAGTCTCCCTTTCCCACGCAGACTCGCGGTTCACGACGAAATCCCTGGGGCACGTGGCTGCTGGGAGCCCTCTGTCCGGAGGGCAGGCCCGCGGGCTGGATCCGGGCTGGGGCGTGGGGCGCCGGGAGAGCCCGGCTCAGCGCAGCGGTTGTGGCGGTTCGCGGTAGCGGGGTTTCGCACTAACCGGGTGTCGGTTTCTTTCTTCCAGGATCGCCAGGACGGGAGCAGCAATGGGAACCCGCGCCTTCCCCACCTCTCCTCGGCCGGGCAACATCTCTACAGCCCCGCGCCGCCCCTCTCCCATACCGGAGTCGCCGAATACCAGCCACCACCCTACTTTCCACCTCCCTACCAGCCACTGACTTATTCCCAGTCGACAGACCCCTACTCGCATCTGGGAGAAGCGTACGCTGCCATCAACCCCCTGCACCAGCCGGCGCCCGCCGGCAGTCAGCCGCAGGCCTGGCCCGGCCGCCAGAGCCAGGAGGCTGCTGGCTTGCCCTCGCACCACGGGCGCCCGGCCGGCCTGCTACCCCATCTTTCCGGGCTGGACGGCGGCGCTATGAGCGCCCGCAGGGATGGCTTCCGCCGCTCGGACCTGCTGCTGCCCCACGCGCACGCCCTGGAAGCCGCGGGGCTGGCGGAGAACCTGGGCCTTCATGACATGGGGCAACAGATGGACGAGGTGCAGGTGAGCGCGTTTAGGGTCTTGCCCCCTCCTGCCCGGACTCTATCCCAGCCCCCAGCCCAGGCACCCCGGAACTTAAAGGAAACTTTGTCATTTCTCCCCCAGATCGTGGATGAGCAGCACCTGCTTCTGCATGATCAGACTGTGATTCGAAAAGGTAGGGCCACACAGGGCCTTGTGTACTGACTCTTACCAGTGTTGTGTTCAACTTAATGGCAAGGTGGGGGCATTTGGTGGCTTACTTGGGACATTTGTGCTGGAAGGGACCAGAACTCTGGGAAGGCAGGTTTTAGGAGTGAGAAGAAAGGGCATTTCTTTCCCACCTAAATGAAATCCCAGATATGTTACTCCTTTAATTTCAGGGTATTTTTACCATGTTTGAAAAACACCAGGGCTTTAGTTGTGTGGTTGGTTGTGACAATGTTAATTGTCAAATGAGTTGATGTGATTTTTATTGTTGATTGCAAATATGCATGTGGCAAGGATCCTTAATTCTAACCTGCAAGAAAGCATTTTGAAACAGTCTGGCCTTCCAAATAGCCCTAAAAGCACCAGGCCCGGTTCTGTCGGAGGCTGATGTTAAAGAGTTTATGCAGGATAAGGGGGGTGGGATTTGGAAAATTGGATTATTGTATTTGGTAAGTGAGTGACTCTCAGAATTAAGTAATGTGCTTGATGGGATTACCAGTCTGGATGTTTTAGGAAATGGAAGGGGCCTGAACTAAAGGTAGTTACGGTCTGTTACTTGAAGTTAAACTGCTTGAAATCAGCTGGGGGGGAAATGTTTTATGTTTTGTTTTGGTTTTTTTTTAGTGTTTTGTTTTTTTGTTTTAACACTCAGAAGATACACTGAATTTCCCAGTAAATTTGTAACAGAACAGGTTTGTTTGTATTTAAAAACTTGCTGTTGCACTAAAGGTTTTGGCAAAGGATCTGAGTTATTCCTTGAGGGAGAAGAAAATAATATCACTTATTTAGTATCGAAGCAGTCTTTTGAAAACAAATGTTCTAATTAAACTAGATTTTTAACAGTGGAATCGAATAAAAATCCTTCCATGCTTGGGATTTTGACTAACTTCCCATGGTGTTAACTGGTGAATTTCAGATTTGATTATTTTTGAAGATCAAGGCTTTAAGAAAAACCTGTAATTTATAGCCTCGCAGGCGATGTTATTTGTTTAAAGAGCTCTCTCGGCAGTGGTTCAAAAAAGGTCTCTTTTGCTTCAATGCAGCTCTGAAGACTGCACTTCTGATCCTCATTCACAGGTCCCATTTCAATGACCAAGAACCCCTTGAGTCTCCCCTGTCAGAAGGAGCTGGTGGGGGCTGTGATGAACCCCAGCGAGGTCTTCTGCTCCGTCCCCGGAAGATTGTCCCTCCTGAGCTCCACGTCGAAATACAAAGTGACAGTTGCCGAAGTCCAGAGGCGATTGTCCCCGCCTGAGTGCTTAAATGCCTCATTACTGGGAGGTGTTCTCAGAAGGTATATGGGGCACATTGTGGGCATGGTGGCTGGGTGGCTATATGAAAGCACTGGGAGGTATTTTTAACATTTATGTAACTTTGAGACCTAACACTGAATTCCAATCAGCTCAGAGAGTTTTAGTACCTTTTGCTTTTAGAAAGTGCCAAATGTAGGAGGAGGTGCTAAAACAGCGCTAACAGATTATCATTTGGTTAGAATTTATTCCATGAGTGAAGTGGTGGCCTCCAAATTAAGAGAAGCTCCAGGGGTTTTGTCCCCCCAGGGAGTTGTTTTCTGGAGCTGCTGCAGTTTTTACGAGTGAAAATCTATCAGCTCCAGTACAGCTTGTAATACTCTGTGATTAAAAAAAAGAAAATGCTGGCTATGCTAAGAACAAATTTTGCATTTTACAGGGATTAATTAATGAGGACACCCTGTGGCATTTGATTATGATCCACATAATGTAGTAGAGTAGACAGTCTTTTTTTTTGAAAATTTTTAGTTTTGATGGCAGCCTAGGAATTTGGAGTTTTAAAGTGGTTTCTTGAGAATAGTCAAGGTTGACTCTCCTGTACGCAGAGCCAAGTCTAAAAATGGAGGCCGGTCCTTGCGGGAGAAGCTGGACAAGATTGGGCTGAACCTTCCAGCCGGCAGACGGAAGGCTGCACACGTCACCCTCCTGACGTCCTTAGTAGAAGGTCAGTGGCGTTTTCTGGTGCTTTTCCTTTGCTGTGTTGTGCCTTTACTATTTCTCTCAGAAAAGTTTAAAAACAGCTCTTAATTTGGCCATGAGTAGAGCAAAATGAAGTTGATTGGAATTGTCATGAGTTCATCACAGTGTATGCCAGTGCTTTTTGTCAAATATCTGCCTGCTAAGTGTTCTGGGTTCAAAAAAGAAATGAGTTTTCCTAACCTAAGAAATCAAACTAGGATGCTGAGACATTGGCTGTTAAATGACCCAGTTTTTGAAGATGCAGTGGATCAGTTGCTATCTATAATAATAAAAGCGTAATATGCTAATTAGACCGGACAGCCGGACAGCCTTCTGACGAATGAAGCCGGGGCTGTGAGGGCTGAGGCAGCCGCTGTGGCTGGGAGGGCCAAGCCCCTTGCATCGGGCCTCTAGCACCTTTATGAAGCCTAGCTGTGCCGGGCTGGTGTTAAGTGGTTGAGAGTGGACCTATGAACCAGGAGGTCCCGGTTCGATTCCCAGCCAGGGCACATGCCTAGGTTGTGGGCTCAATCCCCAGTGGGAGGTATGCAGGCAGCAGCCAATCAATGATTTTCATCAATGATGTTTCTATTTCTCCTTTCCTCTCTGATTTTATTTACAATCAATAAAAAGAGCTTAGCTGCTTATTGGTGGACACAGAAGTGTGGTTTCTGGTTATTGTAGTTGTGGGATATTGGGATTGTGGTCAGCAAAGAGAAGCCCTTGTAAAGGAGATTGGATCAACTCACAATTCCTGTGCTTGTTTAAAAGTGTCGGGGCCCACAGGTGATTCCTGCTCCCTAATCCTAGGAGGTGGCACTGCCCAACCTGGAAAGTAGCAAGGATGCCATATAGGCTTTAAAGGGGGGATGAGAAAAGGTGAAATAATTAAAACAAAACTCACACACTTGTAACGGGCAGGGGAAAGTGGCCTGGGACCCTGACAGGCTTATCCTGCAGCCTCCAGCCACCCGAGCCCTCACCCAGTCCGCAGGGCACTGGGCTCTGGCTGGGGGAGCCAATGAGGGGTGGTGTCCTGGTAGCCAGGCAATCTTTTTTTGTTGTTAATCCTCATCCAAGGATATTTTTCCATTGATTTTTTTAGAGAGAGTGGAAGGGAGGGAGGAGAAGTACATCGATGTGAGAGAGATACACCCTTTGGTTGCCTCTTGCAGGCTCCTGGGGCCAGGGATGGGGGATGGAGCCTGCAACCGAGGTATGTGTCCTTTACTAGAATTGAACCTGAGACCCTTCAGTCCACGGGCCGACGCTCTAACCACTGAGCAACTGTCTAGGACT